AAGTTGTGAAGTTTTGTCAAGTTTTGTTTTCTCAAGATAAATAGATCACTAGCCTCTTAATGACGCTAAAAATAAATCCTGAAAATTTCTTTTAGGAGATAAAATACGGAACAGTAACGTTTAGAAACATTGCATGATTTGCCTCAACCAAACCATGCGGCAAATCATAAAACAATAAAACAAATATTCTGATGAACTATTTATTTTTGAGTAAATCCTTATTCAGAGCTGCAATCCTGTGTCTTGTGAATTTGTATGTACATGCAAAAACTGAGAGACATTTTTCTCTCCTGCAGGTGGAAACTCCAAAGGGCGTTGTGCCAGTACGTCACTGATACTTTAACTTACATGGCAACAGTGAAAGATTTCTCTGAGAGTTTCTCTGAATGGAAAGACTGCAGAGAAATTGAGTATGTGAAAATGATAAGTGTCAAGGAAATGGCTGACAATATTGATCCCACCTTCACAAAGTCAGAGGGAAGGATGGCAGCCTTTGGTAAATACTTGAAAAGCCTTGTTCAGATGAACACAGAGAGAAAACTTGCAGAGCTAGAAAATGTGCTGGATGAAGTGTTAAAAGGAACACTTGAAGGCTTGGAGCAACTTGACATCTTCTTGGAAGCAATAGAGAAGCTGGCTGTGACTTCACTGAATGTCTTCACTGAGAACCAGATTTTACACCTTCCTGAGACGATCAGCTTCAACGATGTTCAAGTTGTCATCAAAGATGCAAGACAGATCTGCCCTCTACTGCTGGAGTTCAAAAGAGATGCAAAGTCCTTCTTCCTTCCTAAACTTCACAATGTGGAAGTGCTTACATCACAACTTCAAAAGTACATACAGACCACCAAACGTTTAATTCATGCAACAAGGTAAAATAATACTTGTAGCATAAATACAGAGAATAAACTCAGGTTTCAAATAAAAATGAAGTCTTCAGCTAATGCTCTTTTCATAGCTTCAACTTTGAAATTTCCTTGGAAATGGCTGAAGAAATAGCCGTGGATCCAGATGGTCTGAGTGAAAATGAGATGCAAATCATGACAAACCACATTAAACAACTTGAAAAAACAAGGTACGTTTGACACAATTTATGAAATAAATCAATACCTGTCAGGAACATTTTCTATTCAATTAAAAAAGAAAAAATGCAAGCTTTTTTTATTATTACAGACACAAGTACTTGTCTGATGAAATTTCTTAGAATTTTATAGTTACAAAGAGTGAGGGGTTCTCACGCTCAAATTCAGGGGGTCTCAAATTCAGCTTTTGACTCATCTTTCATGGCCAACTGATCTAAAAAGGAGGTATCATACAAAGACATGGGGGTACTGCAACACCCCTAGGGTGACAAAAAATGTATTAAAAATACTTTGCACAATTTATACATTTCTTAGAAATATTTTGGGAATTGATTTTGACCTTTTTCTACCATTATGCTCTTTTGGATTTAAATTGAGGCCTAATCAACACAAGTTCACAAATTCTTCTTCATGATTAATCAATTATTGTAATAATTGTCAACTAATTTAGTAGGCTTCCAGGCATCCTAGATCTCCCAGGCGGGTTCAGAGTCTGACAGGGTCCGGAAGCGTGACCAGGTGGTCACGCACAGGAGCAGACAGGATCAGAGTCTCTTTGCTATTCAGAAGTGCCCCATAACTTAGCCTAGCCTGCTAGTCAGGATATCACAAATGCCATTTTAGCACGATCAGTATGGTAAGCTGAAGGCTGCAGTTCAAAATGGATCCCACACTGGTTGTAAAACGCTCTACACTGCTCAGGTTCACCTCTAAATAACTAATGTGGGGATAAACGAGGCTCTCTAGTGGCCGAAACTGGAATTGTTTGAGCAGTGATTGGATCTGACGAATGTTGCACTGTGGGGGCAGGAAGTGAGGGGTTGTGTAATTGGTTTAATATCTCATTGACACCAGGATCTAAACGTAAAATAGCTTCCTCCACACCTGTACGCCACTGTTGATCTGGCGATGGGTCAATTTGTGGCCAGATTATTTATGTTACGGATTGAACCAGAGGACAGGCTCAGAGGAGAAACGGGTCATAAACAGGCAGGCAGACAAACAAAGTTCAGTGAACTGGCACACCAAAAAGGCTGGAATAATCTGGCACCAAAGTCTGATCTGAGGAAAGAGGGATCTGGCCAGCATCAGCATTGAGATCATGACAGATTGAGATTAACTTCATGGTCAGATCCAGTGTTTAGTAACAGTTTAAGTTGCTGCATCCCTTTTTATTTTTATCAACCCAGAGGGTGGCCATTTTATCTACCAACAGAGTGGAAAAAATATTTCTTTTACTTTAAGTCAGTTTTGTCTCAACCAACACTTTTCACATAGATAGTCATCTTGGTATCACTCAATTTGTTACCTTTAGATAGACACCAGAAAAGTATCTGCTGACTCACTTTAAGTTTCTAATTAACCATGGTTGTTATAATTAATTTTCTTAGAAATGACAAACTACTATTTATTAACTCTTTACTCTTGTTTATTGTGTGAAAAATTGCTATAAAATTATTATTTCTTCCACAGGATGGATGAACACTTTCGGATGGCTTTCCTGTTCCAAGAGGTTTCCCCAGCTGATTTCATCAGAATATTTGATGATCGACTGCCACAAATGCTGAAGTTTCTTGATGACTTGGAGCAGTGTGCTGTTCAGTTAGACAGGATGAACAAAGGAGCAAAGATCTCCAGTGTAACAGGAAGCTCAGTTGGAGCAGTTGGAGGTGTACTTTCCATTGTTGGTTTGGCATTAATTCCAGTTACAGCAGGAGTGTCTTCAGGGCTTATAATAGCTGGTGTGGCAATCGGGGTAACAAGTGGAACCAACAGTTTGGTGACCACTGCGACAGAGTTTGGAGTAAATCGTTCTAATCAGAAAAGGGCAAATGAAGCCTTTCAAAGTTTCATGAAAGATTTCCAAAGAATCCAGAATTGTCTTGATAAGGTGGTGGAGCAACCAACAACAAGTCTGGAGCAAAGTGAAGTAGAAGTAGCGGTGGTAGTAGGCAAGATCGCTTCTAAAGCAGGTACCATAGGAAAGAGCATTGATTCAATCGTTGATACTGCTTCTGCTTTGAGGGCTTTAAGAACAGAAGAAGCTGTTGCAAGTGCAGGAAAAGTTGTAACACAAGATGGAAAAGCACTACGCAACATATCGGGTATGGCTGCAGATGTTCCAGATATTGGTCAGGCAGCAGTGAAAGGGCCTCTGGCTCTCTCCAAGGGAGCTAGAGGGGGGTTTATTGCACTTAATGCCTTATTTCTTGGTATGGATATCTTCTTTATCACCAAAGACAGCATGAGTCTGGCCAAAGGCACCGAGGCTAATCTCTCAAAGTTTCTCAGAGCCAGGATTGCATTATTCCGCTCACAGATCGAGTCATGGGAGAAGATTTGCTACACTTTGCTTCACAGTAAACTGACCAGCAATAAAAACAAAGATTTGCTCAAAAAGCTATTTTTCCAAGTGAGAAGGAATACCTAGATTTAAAATGTTAATCATTATAAAAGCAGATTTGTCTAGTAGCCTGAACTGCCACCCCCCACCCCCCTACCACACATCAACACTGTTCAGGACCTAGAAGCTACACCAAAGTAGCATCTCCAGACCTCCTGTGTTACATTAACGTAGCCTGTGTGTATAGAGTACGTTGCTATACAGTGGCAGCTGGCCAATAGAGGGTGCTAGGGTGCCACCCCACCCAATGACCCTGATTAAGAAATTTAAAAAAATAAAAAATGATTATTTTTTGTAGAATTTAATTTTAAATAAGAATTTAAAATATTTTGAAATGTATTGATATATATTTTTTAGATGTGCACGATATATTTAATCTTTATTGATGACTAAAGCGTCATTTTATTTTCCGTCAGATTGATGAGGTATTTCCGCCCTAGGGAGCAAGAATGTTAACCTATTTACTCTCTTTAAAAGTTGTAGATGCACAGTAGCTCCTCTGCAATACAGACGTATAGGAAGGCCCAGGGGGCTGCTAAGTAGCGACCTGTGGTGACAGTATATAGTGTTTTTATAGTGGACTTTTTATAGATGTTTAATTTGCATAGTTGCTCCTAAATAAACTCATTCTCAGAAAATAAATAGTTATATATTTAAAAAAAAATATAACGCTGACTAATAACTTCTACATTATTAAACTGGTACATTATTTTTCTAGGTTTGTGACACAAACTGGACCATGCAAAACATAGATTTGCCTTCACAAAGCCTCAGAAGGGCAAGATATATGTACATAAATTAAACATGTAAATTATGTTTTGTTTTTATAATGTTTTTTGTTGTTGGCATTCATATAAATATACTGGTGTGATAACCTAGTATACATTTGATTGTTTTTAGGTATACATCTATTTTGAATTTATAGGCACCCCGGATAAAACTTCACCAGCTATTTACTATCGTAGGTTTATATTGTATATAACTCTTGATTATGATTCTCTGTGTCACGGTTGGGTTGAGGTTTTTGAGGACCCAAAAGCAGGGGTGAGGAGGGAAAGGGGAGCTTTGTAGAAGGAAACAAATACAAGGGGGCAACAGAGAGTAACTGAAGAACAAAACACTGTTAGCAAACAACTACAAATACAAAGAAACTAAAAATAAACTTAAACACAGGGCAGAAGCCTGACACTCTGATTCTGATAGCCTAAGAAAAAAAATATATTATAATAATACCAAGATGCAAAGATTTACAAACGATGCAGAATTTTCCCATGACTTTTTTATTATATGAATGCTTGTCTTATCTAATTAATATTTTGATCTGATTTAGTGTAAAGTGCCAGACAGATTTATTCAAAGAATTCATCAGACACTGCAGGAAACCGTTCAGCGTGGAAAACAAGAACCTCTGAGAAGGAGATATCAGGTTAGAGGATGGACTGATTCTCAATTTCCACAGTTCTACCTGAGAAAAATCAATTAACCTTCTCAGAATCCCTGAGGACGGCAGGGAAGGATCCAAGTGATGCGATGAGATCACTGCAGGATAGAGCAAGCTTAGTGACGCTCAAATGAGACAGATAAACAGCAGAAATTATAAAAGTTGGTTGTAGATTACAGTATAGGCAAGTGGACGTGAAGTTTCCTGGAAGAAGTTTTGCCTCTCATCCAAGAAACCGAAGAAACCTCTTGGATGAGAGGCAAAATGTCTTCTAGAAAACTTCACGTGCCTAACAGGTTTACATCTCCCCCAAACCAACCGCTGCCATCCCTCTGACCTTCCCAATCACCTGCCTTGATGATAGCTGGAGCTGGATGAAATAAAGGCAGTCCTCAATGCTAAAGTCAATGTGGGTAAAAAAAGGTTAAAATAAACTACACAGGGATCATCCAGAAGACATCCAAATATCAGATCTTTAAGGGATGGAAATGTGATGAAGACTGGCCCCCATAAGGAATGTTCCAGGTGCTACCTTTTGCAGTCATCCTGCTGAATACTGACTGCCAAAGTTGGAACCATCTTGCTCACATTGTCCAGATTTTTCTAAAAAAAATCAAATTTGGATTCCAGGAAAGACCTTAAAGGAATAGTACACACAAAACATGATTAGCCTTCATTTTCTACTCACCCCCATGCTGAACAACACTCTGGAGTACTTTTTTGATATCTCAAATGCATCTGGAGATCTGGGAGGCTTCTTGCTGTCTGCTGACATTCAAATAATGGAGGTCTATGGCGCCCGAGGCAGAAAGGTCCATAAAAGTCCACAAAAAACGTGTCAATATTCCTCCATACTGCTCGTCCAATGTATTCCAAGTGTCCTGAGTGGGTAGCATCCAGAATTTACTCGAAACTAAGTCATTTAGAATGTTTTTAGAGCATAAACAGTAGTGTATAGGATTTCCTGAAAGCGCGTTCACGAGTCTACGGAAGCCGGCAGACCAAACCAGCACATTCAGCTCGGCAAAGAACTCATGCTCTTCCTCAACACTGAAGTCCTCAGACATTTTTCTTTCGTTGTTTCTTTCTTTGCACAGGTAAACAGCACATTTCTTCTTCTACGCTTGCATTATTGGCAGAGCAGACGCTGAATGCGCACTTTCATCTGGTTTGGTCCGCCGGCTTCCGTAGTGTCGTGAACGTGCGGGTGCGCGCTTTCAGTAAATCCTATACTCTACTTTTTATGCTCTAAAAACATTCTAAATGACTTTGTTTCGAGTAAATTCTGGATGCTACTCACTCAGGACACTTGGAATACATTGGACGAGCAGTATGGAGGAATATTGAAACGTTTTTTGTGGACTTTTATGGACCTTTCTGCCTCGAGCGCCATGGACCTCCATTATTTGAATGTCAGCAGACAGCAAGAAGCCTCCCAGATCTCCAGATGCATTTGAGATATCAAAAAAGTACTCCAGAGTGTTGTTCAGCATGGGGGTGAGTAGAAAATGAAGGCTAATCATGTTTTGGGTGTACTATTCCTTTAATGTTAATCTAAAACACGCAGAACAGTCGCTCCAACTCCCCTAAGCTCCTGAAGAGAAAGACAGTCCATGCTCATACATTACTGCCACCTTGTGGTGGTAGCTAAACATTTCTGTACTGTTTATCTACTTTTGTGGTTTAACTTCATGATGTTATTTTCTATGTATGACTGTTGTAAGGAATGATCAATATGTTTCCATCCTTACTAATTTCAGTTACATTTGAAGCTCGTTTAAAAAAAGAAGACATGAAAACATTTCTAGAGTAAAAAAAAAAAAAAGAATACTTGAGAAAGTTGCCCTATTTCAGTAATTCAGTAAAACTGGTATTTAGATGCTTTAAAAAGTGTGGTATTTTTAAATGACCAGGCAGAGCAAGTTTATTTGTAATTGCAAAATTCAGTACAAAGACAATTCAAAGTGCTTTACATAAATTAAACAATCAAATATAAGAAATCTAAAAGTAAAATTAAAGAAAGTACAGATAAAAACACAATAAAGGTAGGGCAAATAAATGATTGACATGAACTAATCAAACCTAAGTTATCAGTTTAACGTTAACAGTTAAAGGCAGTTTTACATAAATGGGTTTTCAACTTTGACTTAAAGAACTCAGGCTTTCAGCACTTTTACAATCTTCAGAGAGTTTGTTCCAGATAGATGTAGTGCAGTGTATGGACCTCAGAACCGAGCTGATGTGCTCTACATTCTTAAATCTAGTGAGAACACAGGCAGCAGAGTTTTGGATCAGCTGCAGCTGTCTGATGCAAGTTTTAGGCAAACCAATAAAGGCATTGTTGCTGTAATCAATTCTACAAAAGATAAATGCATGAAAGAGTTTTTCTAGATCCTGATTGATCATTGGTGCTTTAATCTTGGACATGTTCTTCAGGTGATAAAAGGCTCACTTAGTAACTGCCTTTATGTGCCCCTGAAGGTTCAGCTCTGAGTCCATCTTGACTTCATGACCATAATCAGCAGTTTCTAGCTGTAGTAGCTGAATCTATGAGCTACCTGAATCTTTCCTTTTTTGGTCCAAAGATTATTACCTCCGTTTAGTTTTTTTCTGTTGAAGAAAACGATGGCGCAGCCACGTATTGATCCGTTTTAAGCATCTAACCAACGCTCTGATGAGTTCACATCACAAAGTCACTCGGTGACCCGGTGAAATTACAAATCTGGCCTGTTGTCCTTTGCTGCATGTCTCTCCTCCTCTCTCATACCTAGGCATGGGAATCGAAAACTGGTTCCTGTTCAGGACCGGTTCCGTGTTTTCCAATTCCATGGCACCAGGTTGCTTAACGATTCTCTTAACGGTTCCAGGCAGCACCAGAGCCTAGCGCTGGACAGCTTACGTCATGTTTATTAAGCAAGTTACGCATACGGCATTCAGTAAGCAAGTACGACGTGACCAGGTATAAGTCTAGAAAAGCAAAACAAAAAAATGGCGTTCCATCGGGTAAAGCGATCAAAAGTTTGGCTTAATTTTAAGGAAGAGAAAGATGGCAACAAGGCGCTTTGCAATTATTGCAAAGTGGAAATTACATCCGTGGGAGGAAATACATCCAAGATGCAGAAACACCTGCGCACACAACATGGCATACAATTTACCGAATGCCGTGTTTTTGATGCTTCCAGACAAAAACTAAAGTTACAACCAGCATGGAAGGCAACTCTGGTGATAAGTAGCTAGATTTATATCCCTGGCTTGTACAGTGATGCTTTTTCATTAAACAGATGCCTTCTCCATTAGATTTAGATGACTGTGACGGGTAGCCTGGCTGGCTCAGAGGCTGGCAGCTCCCGTTCACTGCCTTCTGTTTTCGCCGAGCCAGGCAGAAATAGAATGTCCCAGGCGAAGGTAGACGAATGTCACCGTGCACTTAATAAGTTCATTGTTAACATAATCGATAAGAGAATCAATTAGGAATCGAACCGTTTCAACAAATTGATAAGGGCATCAGAATCGTGAATATCTTATCAGTTCCCAACCCTACTCATACCCCCTATCATGTCAGCCTATTGTCCAAAAAACGTCCACT